GGGAAGGTAGCCTGGCTCAGTTCCGGGAGCTCAGCCCCGCCCTTTCCCCTGCACATGGCCCGCTGCCACCTCTGTATCAGAGGCAACAGGCAGCTAACAGACTTCCCTCGCAGACCAGCTCCTGCCTGGCACCCCATGCTGTTGCCTCTGATATACCCCTCGGGACTAGAGAATAGTCAAGCAATTGATAAGAATCCATGAGGTTAATCAGTTAGTCAATTAACCAATATTTAACATCCCTAATTCAGGGTGCATGGGGGAGATCTCTAGACTGGGGCAAATGATTGGGGTGTAGGAAGAAGTGAGAGCTCCAACTGAGAGAGGGACAAATTCTTAGGTGAGGCTGAGGGGCTTGGAGTGTAGGAGGGGGCTCTGGTAGGAGGTTGGGGTGGGGGCGCAGAGTGTGGGTGGGGGCGAGGGTGCACAAAACATTCCTCAGGCAGCTCCCATTTCGTAGTACAGCAGGTCGAAGGCAGGCTCCCCGTCTGCCCTGGCCCTGCACCACTGCCTTGCTCAGAAGTGCCAGCAGCTTTAGCTCAGTGCACATGAGGATAAGGCTCAAAGCTTTCAGCCTATGGTACAGATAATTTAATCTGGCTTGCAGAAAGTAAGCAGGGGGCTGGAGATTCTCCACCCCTGATCTAAAGCAAAGCATGTGATTGATGGAGAAAGTCTCAGCTGAGAGAAGTCATAGGTGGAATGAAATTCCAGACTCTCCTAGTTGGTCTCAGGTGTAACCTTTCTCTTCAGCAAAGTGTTTCTGCCATAACTAGAATGACATTTGGAACAAATATATTTTCTACTAAAGAATCAAGTCAACTGTAAACAGCTTTCTATAATCAAAAAATGGGTGAGAGATACACTCTGGTAAGGACTTCTGTTTGCTTGTCTAAATATTGTTGCATGAGCTGAGATTGTAGAATGATGAGTGGCAGTAAAAACAACTGGAGTGTAGTGTTTATAATCTATAGAATTACAGAGGGAAATTGTCTGAAAATGGATCCAACTCAGTGGCAAATTAGTCTTTTTGGAAAGGGCATCTAAAGGTGTTGCTATCTAAAAGATTATTCTCCTGTCCAGGTTTAATAGCCCATGTCGATTCTTTTCTGTTCAGAGAAGAGATTGCCCCTGACTAGCTTTGTATGCCAGCTTGTCTCTCCTCTCCCTAGAATGACATGCCACCGCAGCATCCAGAGAGGCAGAAGGAGAACCATGTAGTTGAACTGATATTTATTTTGGTTTGGGTTCAGTTGTATCCAATGTGTTTGGTTTTGTTGTGGTTCAAGCCACCAAAAAAACCTTCAGCTATTGATTCAAGCTATAGGTTGACTCTCCAGCATCCTTGGGATCTGACCAGCATGGAATCAGATTATTTGCTGAACCACAGGAGGTTGTTATTGTCTAGTAGCATAATGAACACTTCCACTGCTTACTGGGCTCTTAGAAGACATTTGGGGTAAATTAGAGCTAAATAACGGCACAGAGCCAGGACTGGTAGATGTAAACCAGTGGTTCCCAACCATTTGAAGGTGCCAGGGGGCGTGGCCGTGTGCCTGCCAGGGGGCAGGGACACTCCCGCACCCGGGGGTGGGGCTGTGCATATGCCACACCCCCATGAGTCACGTACCTGGGGCCAGCAACCCTATGTGCTGCGTGGCCACGGGCGGGGCCGCCCATTTGCAGCAAGCCTGGGGCCAGCATCCTGCAGAGCCAGGCGCCTTGGGCCAGCACCGCCCTCCATAGCCGTGTGCCCAAAGCTGGCTCTTCTCCTCCCCTCCCCCCCCCCGAATGGGTATGCTAATTTGCCATTCTTCCGGGGCTGGCGCCCCCCCCATAACCGCACACCCGGGGGCCAAGGCGGCCAATTCGCCATGTGCTTGGGGCCGGTGCTCCCCATGCGCCGTGCTCCTGGGGAGCGGGCAGCCAATTCACCCCGGGGCTGGGGCTGCCCGTGCGCCATGTGCCCGGCTCCGGCACCGCACATGCGCCACGCGCCCAGGGCGTGGCCAGCTCTGAGCACTTGGCGGGTGCACACAAATGACCCCGTGGGCGCCATGGCGCCCATGAGCACCGTGTTTGGGACCACTGATGTAAACAAACTTTGTGGGGCTGTGGGAAACTTGGCCACACCCATGATAAGTGGACATCCAGCTAACTCAGATCTTGTTGGACTAGAGAGGTTTCACCTGTAGTTCAGATCACATTTCAATTTTAGTATAAGTAATTTTTTTTAAAAAGAGGTGAAATGTGAAACTATTTTGATTAATTTTTATGAGTTTTTCTAATGTTCTTATGCTGTCAATCAGAATTATTTATTTATGAATAAATAGTATGTTTGGGTAAACTAAAATAACATCTCATGAGAGATCTTGTGTAGTGTTGGACCTGTGCAATGAGAGGATAATTTTGAGGCCTGTAAATGTTCTTTCACCACTCACGTGTTGCTGGAACTATCAGTTGATTCATATTGGGCATGGTATTTTTATGATGAGTCCAGTGTTTTAATGATAGCCTTCATAATGAGATGTGGCTCATCTGCAAATGAATCAAGGATTGTCTGGGTTCTTTTTTGAGCTTTTATTCATCTAGATGGGTATTTTTGAAGATTTATTTTTGTGTAGTTTATCATCCAGTATTTTGATTTCAGATGCATCTGACCTTGATTGTTACATCATTATTTTCTCACTGAAACATTTCCATTTTCATCCATGTTTTGTTTAAATTAAACTTTTGCCTTGAATTTGACCTCTCGTGACTGTAAGAATTAATATCTAGGGTCAAGGTATGCACATGAGAAAAGGATTTCTTTTTTTTCTAATTTTGTAATTAAGCCCATAAAGATTCAGTAAAAAAATAAACTAGAGGGCAGTTAACCAACAATTTGCATAAAGTGACATGTTGCACCTTAGAGATTGCTCTAACTTCCTTGTTTTCTCTTTTAGGTTTGTGATGAACCAGAGGAATTAAAGAGAAAGGTCATTGAGCTGGCTGCAGCTGTCCGACGTGCAAAACACCTGGTCATTTATACAGGAGCTGGGATCAGCACGGTAGGGTTGAATGGGATGAGTGTTTAAGGCTCCTGGCGCTCCTTCAGCAATAGTTTTATGCCATAAATTCTAGAGCTCTCTTTCCTGGCTAACGAGTGGATTGCATGCAGTCAGGGAGGTTTGTAAGCAAAGCATTCGGAGTCCTAAGATTCTGTAGTCAGACTGACATTTGCCCACCAGTAGGCAAATGTCAGGACACCTTCCTGTTTGTGTCTCAGGCCTGGTCTATGCTATGGGGCTAAGTTATGCAACTCCAGCTACGTGAATATGGTAGCTTAGGTCGACTTACTATGGTGACTACATCACGCTGTGTCGCTGGGAGAAACTCTCCCATCAACATACTTTATACATCATCTTCCGGTGGCTTGACCCCGATGGATCGCTGCTCCAGCGATCAATCGCCACAGTACCATCCTCGGTAAGTGTAGCCATATCCTTGGGAAGGCAATTGCTGGCTAGGAGAGGCTGAGGCTCTGACTGTGTACAGAGACAATTATTAGCTCTCCTGGGATAGCGTGAAATGCTAAGCATCAGCCAAGAATGCTGTAACAAAGAATATCCTTTTTGATGTGATGAGCAAGGCCACTCCTTCACATTTCTCTTCAAGACCTACTTCTGTCTGATAGCCCATAAAAATTGGCCAGTAATGATGGTTAGGTTGAAGGGCATAGGAGTCCATCAAACAATCCATAATCTTTAGGTTATAAATCTCTCTCAGTATGGTCTGCCATAGTGGTTTCAGCTGGGAGAAGTGGGTATTGAAGTCTGCCCTCCCCCCCATGTCACTTTTGACTGTAAGCTGTTTGAAGCAGGAACCATATTTTTCCTATATTTTCTATTGAAATGGGGGCCTGGGCTAATTGGTTAACCCTCACAGTTGCATGCAGCCCCTTCTCCCCCCTACTCCCCCGCACTGCTGCCTCTGTATTCTTTGTTTTATGAATGAACGCCCTGTGAAAGGATGACAACTCTGGATGAATTAGTGGAGTGAGCTAAGCACGGAGCTCAACAAGTGAAATTGGGTGTATGCCTCCACGCGGGAGAGGGCTGACTGACTTGTGAGGAATGTGGGACGTGTGAATCAGATCAGCTAGCAAGGCTGGACTGCCCGTGTGGGGAGTCTTCTCAGCTCTTTCTCCTATAATTCAGGCAGCTTCCATCCCCGACTACAGAGGTCCTAATGGAGTTTGGACATTACTGCAGAAAGGGAGGAGTCTCAGGTATGACATTACCGAGCGTTTCCCTTGTGCTCTAGTGGGGTGATGGCCATAGCAGCCTCCCAAGAGTGTCTTTCTGGGCTGCACAGCAGGAGGTGAAGACTGAACGTGGGCCTAACCATTCCTCTTCTGTTCCTCTCCATTTGCCAGGGCTACAGATCTGAGTGAGGCAGAGCCCACGCTCACCCATATGGGCATTGCCTGCTTGCACAAGCACAGCCTGGTAAGCTCACTAGTGCTCTGGTATTGGGATCTGAGGAGAGAGACCAATTGCTGGGAAAGTGTTCCATGGGTTACTGGGACATTAGTCACTGTTACTCATGGAAGGTGGCCAAATGTCCACATGGAAACAGGGTTTGTGCTCCTGCAAAAGCCAGGTGTCTTACTGTCGCTCTCTGTACTCATACTTTTTCCACACCTGCCTTCCCCCCGCCTGCCTCCACTTGTTAGTGGGGGGAGGAGAGATGGGTCCTTGTTATAAAAATAGCCCCCAGTAGTAACTCCTAGCAGAGCAATGCAAGCCTTTAACTTCTGTCACAAATGTGTGCTGGTTTCTGTGCCTCTCCGTTATTTCCTCCCACCCTGCTTGGTCTCTGCCAACTCTGCTCAGGCTCTGAGGCTGTACTGAGGTCAGTCTGTTTCCTCATTGGTGAGCACATGCAGAGTTCCCTGCCAGCTCAGCTCTGCTTCCTTCCTTCCAAGGTGCAGCATGTGGTGTCTCAGAACTGTGATGGGCTCCACTTACGGAGCGGGTTACCCCGAGCAGCAATCTCTGAGCTTCATGGAAACATGTACATAGAGGTGAGTAGCCAGGCCACAGGCTTGCTATCCTGTGGGCTCATGGGATTTTAGGCTGCTGGCCTGTCTCCCCAGTCCAGGAAGGGTTAAAAACCTCTGCACCCAGAGTCTATTCAGGCCTTCTTCATGGCACCATTTATTGGTTGTACTGATGGTCTTCAGAAAGTTCAGTATAAACCCAGCAGCTCTTCCTCGCTCCTCCTATAGCCAGTCTGCCTAAGAATACCCCTGCCACAGAAACTGCTTGCTTCCTGTAGCTCCCTCTGTGAGCCTTCAGCCTTATGGGAATCAGGTGTGTCACCTGACCCCTTGTCAGCTGGGATGGAATTCCCTCCTACGCCTGTAGAGAGGCTGTGCTTGAAACAGGGCTAACTGATCCCAGGCCCCTGGCTTTTAAGGAGCAAACCTCCCTGTTACAGAACTGCATTTCCTTGCTTCTTTCCTCACAAGGTCTGCACTTCCTGCACACCCAACAGAGAGTATGTGCGAGTGTTTGATGTGACGGAGCGCACGGCCCTGCACAGACATCATACAGGCAGACTGTGCCATAAGTGTGGGGCACAGCTGAGAGATACAATCGTCCATTTCGGGGAGAAGGGGACCTTGAGGGAACCTCTGAACTGGGAAGCAGCAACAGAAGCTGCAAGCAAAGCAGATGTGATTCTGTGTCTGGGTTCCAGCTTAAAGGTAACTGTAGATGCTCAGTGAAGATTGTTAGCAGCATTCTCCTTTGGTGATACTCTGGCGCTGAACAGTCTCCTCCCAACACCCTGGTCTCGGGCCTCACCCACTACATGTGATAAATCCTAGTGCCGGGTAGACTCTCTTCCGACTCCTCCCTCGTGCCCTTCCTGGTAATGAATTCCACCTGCGCTCTCAGCTATATTCCAGCATTTACATCCACCTTTGGCAGCACTGACAGTCTCTATTTTATGCCAGGTTTTGAAAAAGTATCCACGGCTTTGGTGCATGAGCAAACCCCCTAGTCGCCGTCCAAAACTCTACATTGTGAACCTGCAGGTGAGATATTGAAAATATGGGGAAAGCCTCGTGTGAAATGATTCTGCACCAACACCCTGCTGTGCAGGGGAAGCTGGAATTCAGATCCACAAAGAGTCTGGGAGCTAGAGAGTGTGAATTTGAGCAGGGGACAGACTGGGACTGCCACAATACAAGGCCATTAGGTCTGGATAGGGTGCAGTGCAGGGATCAGCCATGGGTTGCTCATTCAGCCTGTCTGGATTTTTATCTACACTTCCTTGGCCCCCCACAGTGGACTCCAAAGGATGATATGGCTGCCCTGAAACTACACGGGAAATGTGATGATGTTATGAGATTACTGCTGGAGGAACTTGGTCTGGAGATCCCATGCTACGACAGGTGAGGAGCCTGAGGCCATATTCATCTATCTTAGAGAACTCCCTCCCTGCTTCACTTTCCTCTTACAGGGCAAATCACTTCTGTCCTCCTGCTCTTGGAGAGGGGGAAGCAAAGTGCTCGCTGGCACTGGGGTTGGAATGGAAGTTTTGTGCTGAGACTGCAGCCACCTGGGCCTCTTTGCTAAGAACATTCCTCTGCCAGTTCAGCAATACACTTTAATAGTTTGAGTGATTTTCATCTGGGGAGATAAGGACCCCCCCAGGCCTTGTCCACAGCTCCTGGCCGTGGTGGGGAGGAGGGAGATGTTTCAAAAGCCCTGCCTTTCAGGAGAGGGCACAAGAGGATTTTAGCTGCACAGACTCTTTGGACTGAGTAAACACTAGCTGCTTGCTGGCTACATCCAGGCTGATGGGGGCGGTTTGCAGCAGTGGGTTCACTTTTGGGGGGGTGAGGAGGGAGAGTAGTGCTGAATTCCCCAGCAGCAGGACGAGGAGCCTTTCTGACACCTCTGTCTTGTTTTGGTAGAACAAAGGATCCTATCTTCTCCCTGGCAATTCCCCTTAGCCCCGATGAAGAAGGTAGCCACAGCCGGAGACCTGTGGCACCCCCATGGAGCCTGGAGGAGATGCAGATGCAAGAGCAGCAGCGAGAGCCGGCTTCTCAGCTCAGCCTCTCTCACTCAGGTGGCTGGTTTGGCAGAGGCTGTGCTAAAGGCTCCAAGAGGAAAAAAAGTAAATTGACTTTGTGAATTAGTATTTGAACACTTTATGGAACAGCTGTTCCCTACTGCCCTGGACTCCGCCGGGTTTACGGCTGTTCCAGATGGCTGTTCCCTATTGCCCTGGACTCAGCTCGGTTTGCCAGGGACTCCAGACACACTCTACGGGTCTGAGGTGGGGGCAACTGGCAGAGCTGTTTTTTCATACCACTATTCGCTGTGCGATGACAAAGCTCAGGATAGCTGGCTATTGGGAACAGGGGCTTGCAGTCTGAGCCCTTTCCCTTCACCTCAGCACCTCCAGGAGCATTCACAGGTTGGTGCCCTGCTGTTTTTCTGCCTTGCAGGTTCTTTTTGCTAAGTAAAGCCTGGACTCTCGGTGGTTCTGTGATTGGCTGATGTGGGTGATCTTGGGCTGGACACAGGGCATCAGGGATGACCGCAGGAACCTGACTGTTTCTGGATGTGGGCTGGGTACAGGTCTCAGGTAGCCCTGCATGACTCAGGTGGAGGGGTGTCAGTCCCTGCTACGGACTGGGGGCCATGTGGCGTTAAGGCTCCTCAGGCAGGGCTGGCGTAGCCACAACTTAGCTCCACCCGACAAAATAGGCTGGGACTGGGGTTGTGTGATCTCAAGGACAGTGGAGGAGGGGGGTCCTGGGCCTGTCCCTGACCCTAGTCAGGTGACTGAGACCCCTCTTGCTTGCTATGGGGCATGGGTACCAGGATCCATCCAAGATACTAAGGAGTGGAGTGGTTGAGGTCTCTCTCACTCACACACTCACCCCCCCCACCCCCCCCGGGGCAGGCGTTGGCTGTGTCTGCACCTGGTGTGCGAGGCCCCATTAATTAGCAGATGGCACCATTTTGCCTGGGCTCCCTCTGCCTTGCCCTAGACCTAATGCTGCATCACCAGGGCTGTCCAGTGGCCTGGCACTCCTGAGGGTCAGAGCCCAGCTCTGGCTCCTCATCCCCCTTCAGATGCTGGAGCTCTGACATTCCCCACAAATCGCTGGTGCCTGGGAGCATGGAGACAGGCTATGACAAAGCTCACTTCACTGAAGGAAGCTTTGAGACCCCTGCCCGGGGGAGAAGGGGATCAGCCCTGTCTTACGGCAGTAGGTTGGCTGGTGCTCACCTCAGACTTCCTTCTGACAAGCTGGCCAGTGACTTGTGGGGGGAGAAAAGAATCCAATTTCCGGAGTGACCGGTAATCCAGGTATGTGTTATGAGTTGAATACATCTTATGGGCAAAACAACAGGTTGGGGATGGCTACTGTCTCTCCTCTCTCCTTCCGAGGCCATCCATTAGCAGTAGGTGCAGTCTTAGTCACCTGCAGTCTTGGTTGGGCTGATTTTGCTTTGACCATTTTCTTGGTGGCTGCTGCTGCATGTGCTTTTGTCTTGCGTTTGGTGAGCCTCACCTATGCTGGATAAGGCAAGCTAAATGGGAACACGATGTGATAGTGACTAAGTGGGAGGGCCAGGCCAAGAATGTTAATGATTTTAGCCCTAGGTCTACACCAAGAAGCACCTACCTTATTACAAGGACTCGATTTCAGGGAGCGGCCAGGCCTTGCATTCAGCATCGGCTGACTCCCCACAATCCACGCAAGGTGCTTAGCGTCGGGGAATGCATCCCTTCAGAACCCCAATTCACTCACAATTCTCCCTCGGGTATGTGTTTGCAGTACATCTCTCGGGGGGGATGCAGAATCAATTTCTCAATATTGGCCTAGTTTTAATTAGGAAGGCTACATAAGTACTAGGGAGCAAACTAATGTTTAATGCAGGTATGTTTATACTGCTCTAATATTATGTGCTAACATGTAACTACAATATTTACATTCCAATTGATAACTTCAGTAAAAAAGTAATGTTTTGGTAAGTAGGGCTGTCAAACAATTAAAAATTAAGCACATGGTTAAACACGCTGTTAACTGAATATTGTTTAAATACTCTGTTTTCTACCTTTTCAAATATTTGTTACAACACAGAATATGAAGCATACAGTATTTGATTATAAATATTTGCACTGTAAAAAATAGTATTTGATTCCCCCATTACAAATACTCTAGTGCAATTTCTTTATCATAGGAGTTGAACTTACAAATACAGACTTATGTAAAAAACAAACCCTGCATTCAAAAATAAAACAATGTAAAACATTATAGCCTATAAGTCTACTCAATCCTACTACTTGTCCGCTCAGACAAACATGTTGGTTTATATTTGAAGGAAACAAAAGTCTGCTGCTTATTTACAAAGTCATCTGAAAGTGAAAACCAGTTTTTGCAAAGCATCGTTGCATCCAGCATTGCAATAGATTTACATGCAAGTTGTGCTTAAAGGTTCGTATGTCCCTTAACCACTATTCCAGAGGACATGCATCCATGCTGCTAACAGGTTCAGCTTGATAACAATTCAAAGTGATGTGGACCAATGCATGTACATTTTCATCATCTGAGACTGATGCCATCAGCAGAAGGTTGATTTTCTTTTTTGGTGGTTCAGGTTCTGTAGTTTCTGCATCAGTGTTGTTCTTTCAAGCCTTGGAAAGCAGATTCTCCACACGTTTATCCCTCTCAGATTGTGGAAGGCACTTCAGATTCTTAACTTTGGGTCAAGTGCTGGAGTTCTCTTTAAAAATCTCACAGTTGTACCTTCTTTGTGTTTTTTTACTGGAGATTTTACAGTGTTCTTAAGATGAACATGTGCTGGGTCAGGCTGCTATAAAATGAAATATATGGCAGAATGGGTGTAAAACAGTAGGAGACAAACAATGATCTTCCTCTTCCCCTCCCTCCAGCAGTTCAGTTACAAATTAACATTTTTTTTAAATGAGCATCATCAGCATGGAAGCATGTCCTCTAGGATTGTGGCCAAAGCACAAAGGGCACATGTACGTTTAGTGTATTTGGCGCACATATCTTGAAACACCCGTTCTCACTTCCATGTGATGTTGTAAATGAGAAACAGGCAGCATTATGGCCTACAAATGTAAAACTTGTTTCTCTTACCAATTGGCTGAACAAGAAGTGGGACTGAGTGGACTTGTAAGCTCAAGTTTTATAATATTTTTGAGTGAAGTTATGTAATCTAAATTTGTAACTTGCATTTTCATGATAAAGCAACTGCACTATAGTACTTGAATGAGGTAAACTGAAAAATACGACTTGTCATTTTTACAATTCAACTATTTATAATATAACACTGTACAATGCTGTCTCTAATTGAAAAATAGAAAAATATTGAAAAATAAAATTCAATTGGTATTCTATTGATTAAAACTGATTAACTTAACTCATGTGATAACTTAAATTGTGATTAACTTTTTAAACTGCACTTAGTCAACAGCCCTAGTCCTAAATTAAGGTGAAACTGGAGAAATGCAAAACAAATAAAATGCGTTAAGGGGTACAATATTTCAGGCTTAGAGCAAGTGGTGCATGTGCGAAAGGGGAAGGAATTACATCTGCTTTGTATGTACCACACCAACACTGGGCCATGGGAGAAGCCCCACTATACTGTTACTCCCTTGAGGGAAGGAGAGTTGGATGTTGCTCCCTACGCCGTGGTGCACTGTTATTCTTGCAATTAGGAAGCCACAAGTGGAGCTATCATCCACCCACTGAAGCCACAGCCAGAAGCAGCACATCCTCCTGAGCGGGGAGTGGGCAACACTGCCTTGCTCCCCAACACCACATGAAACCCTGGCCATGGGCAGTGTGCAGGCCCACACTCACAGCTGTGCCCCTCTTCACCCCTCCCCCGCTGGCCACTGAGACAGCCATCAGCTACCAACAACCTTAACAGACCTGATTCCCTGCCCTGTTTAATTGCCCCATGTAGTACTGTAGTCCCCACCAGCTCTGCCATAACACACCCACCCACCCCTCAACTTGCAGTCCCATCAGACTCCTCACCACCATGGGTGCTCCATCACCCTCACAGACTACACATAGGTAAGATTCTTTTTTTTTTTAAGGGTGCATGCACACACCCCTCGCTCATGCACCATCATCAGCTATGTACCAGAAAGATTGAACATCTGAGCTTTTAACTTAAAACAAAAGCAGCACCAGGCCAATTAAGTCACGGGCATTTAGTGTGGAAGGGCAGAGATAGAAGTCTCCAAGTCTGGTTGGGTGCAAGGCCTGGCACTCCTGAGGGTCAGAGCCCAGCTCTGGCTCCTCATCCCCCTTCAGATGCTGGAGCTCTGACATTCCCCACAAATCGCTGGTGCCTGGGAGCATGGAGACAGGCTATGACAAAGCTCACTTCACTGAAGGAAGCTTTGAGACCCCTGCCCGGGGGAGAAGGGGATCAGCCCTGTCTTACGGCAGTAGGTTGGCTGGTGCTCACCTCAGACTTCCTTCTGACAAGCTGGCCAGTGACTTGTGGGGGGAGAAAAGAATCCAATTTCCGGAGTGACCGGTAATCCAGGTATGTGTTATGAGTTGAATACATCTTATGGGCAAAACAACAGGTTGGGGATGGCTACTGTCTCTCCTCTCTCCTTCCGAGGCCATCCATTAGCAGTAGGTGCAGTCTTAGTCACCTGCAGTCTTGGTTGGGCTGATTTTGCTTTGACCATTTTCTTGGTGGCTGCTGCTGCATGTGCTTTTGTCTTGCGTTTGGTGAGCCTCACCTATGCTGGATAAGGCAAGCTAAATGGGAACACGATGTGATAGTGACTAAGTGGGAGGGCCAGGCCAAGAATGTTAATGATTTTAGCCCTAGGTCTACACCAAGAAGCACCTACCTTATTACAAGGACTCGATTTCAGGGAGCGGCCAGGCCTTGCATTCAGCATCGGCTGACTCCCCACAATCCACGCAAGGTGCTTAGCGTCGGGGAATGCATCCCTTCAGAACCCCAATTCACTCACAATTCTCCCTCGGGTATGTGTTTGCAGTACATCTCTCGGGGGGGATGCAGAATCAATTTCTCAATATTGGCCTAGTTTTAATTAGGAAGGCTACATAAGTACTAGGGAGCAAACTAATGTTTAATGCAGGTATGTTTATACTGCTCTAATATTATGTGCTAACATGTAACTACAATATTTACATTCCAATTGATAACTTCAGTAAAAAAGTAATGTTTTGGTAAGTAGGGCTGTCAAACAATTAAAAATTAAGCACATGGTTAAACACGCTGTTAACTGAATATTGTTTAAATACTCTGTTTTCTACCTTTTCAAATATTTGTTACAACACAGAATATGAAGCATACAGTATTTGATTATAAATATTTGCACTGTAAAAAATAGTATTTGATTCCCCCATTACAAATACTCTAGTGCAATTTCTTTATCATAGGAGTTGAACTTACAAATACAGACTTATGTAAAAAACAAACCCTGCATTCAAAAA